GGGTAGATGGTTTGTCTCATTTATTGATGACCACACTAGAACTACTTGGGTATTCTTAATGAAGGAGAAATGTGAAATAACCCAAATCTTCCAAACCTTCGATGATATGATTCAAACTCAATTTCAATACAAAACTTAGGTTCTCAAAACTGATAATGCAAATGAATATTTCAACTCCATTCTTATGTCTTATATTTCAAAAATGGAACCATCCATGTGGGGTCATATATTGATACCCACAACAAAATGAGATAGCTAAGACAAAAAAATAGGCAACTCCTAAAGGTATTTTGTTCAATTATAATGTTCTTCAAGTTCCAAAAGATTTTTGGGGGAGAGTGGTTCTTACTGCAACATATCTTATCAATCAAATGTCTGAGTCGGGTGCTTTACTTCAAAACACATTTTCATATGTTGATGGTTACCTATCTTCACATCAAAATTTTTTCTTCTACTACCCACTCAAAATCATTGGGTGTATATCCTTTGTTCATGTACATTAAAAAATCGCACAATAGTTTACCCTAAATTAATTAAAAGTATTTTTCTTAGGTATTGCCACCAATAAAAAGGGATATAAGTGTTACCTCCTCTTACTAGAAAATACTATAATTCTATATATGTCACTTTTCTTTAAAATCAATCATACTGGTCTAAATTTGATCTTCATAGGGAAAGTATATATAAACATCAATTTTGGGATGCATTTGATGACACTTAACGATCTCCACTACCTGCTCCACCTAGCCCTCCTATATTGGTTGAGGACTTCCAATCAACACAACCCGAAGTCCAGAACAAAGAACTTTGTGTGTACACATGGAGGAAGAAAAACATTGAGTAGGTGGAAAACAAATTGCAATGACAGATTTGTTAAAACCAAAACTTAAGTTAGTGTTCATCTGAAATTTCGGGTAAGGAGTTTAGTACTTATGAGTTATTCAGTTTCTTTTCTGATGTTGGTGGCATTGAAAGTTGTATTAGATATTCAATTTAGGATTATATAGCTTATGAGAAGTTATCCTCGTCCTGCAAAGCTTTTGTTTCTGATATTGATAGTATGTGTATTCATAAATTCATTCATGAATATCAAAAATGGAGGAAAGCAGTTAAAGAGGAGATTTGAGCGCTATAGCATAATGACACATGGATTCTTACTAAACTTTCTCAGTATAAAAAAATTTGGTTGGGTGCAAATGGGTAAAATACAAAACTGATGGAAGTATCTAGATATTCAAAGTCAAACTTGTTGCAAAATGTTTCACTCAAGCCTATGAGATCAACTGTTAAGAGACTTTCACACCAGTTGTTAAACTTATTACTATCAGAGCTCTCCTTTCAGTCGTGGTTAACAATGTATGGAGACTGCATCAACTTGATATAAAAAATGTCTCTGAATGCGGATTTAGAAGAAGCGTATATGGAGATACCAACAAGACTTGAGAATGATTCTAGCAAACACCTAGTATGTAAACACATGAAGTCTCTATATAGGCTTAAACAATTGTCAAGGGCATGATTTGAAATATTTGCTAAAACTATGAGATCTAATGAGTATTCTTAAGTTAAGTTGATCATATTTTGTTTGCAAAACACACTCAAAAAGATAAGATTGTTGTGCTGATAGTATATGCAGATGATATGATTCTTACGGGTAATGAAGAAAGAGAGATTCTTAAGATAAAAAAAGTGCTTGTCACAACGTTTGAAATCAAAGACCTAGGAACCGTGAGATATTTTCTAGGCATGGGGGTAAGGGCCAAAAAAGGCATCACTATATCATAAAGGAAATACATTCTATATCTACTAGAGAAGGCGGGAATGATTGTATGTAAACATGTTGGCACTCCAATGGGTCCCAATTAGAAGTCGAAGAGGGGAGAAGAAAGTGTCTCTGTGGATCAGGGAATACATAAATGAGTGGTAGGAAAACTAATTGCATGTCACATATAAGATCACATATTATATATTCTGTCAGTATTGTGAGCCAACACATGAATAGCTCAAATGAAGAGCACTTAGAGATGTTGCACAAATTCCAAGGTTTCTTAAAAAGACTTATGATTATAGATTAATTTTTGAGAAAACCAAGAACAAAGAGGTGGAAGCCTACACATATGCTAGTTGGGCTGGTAACTAACTGATAAAAGGTCCATCATAGTTTACCTCCCATGCATAGGAAAATCTGGTGACATGGAGAAGTAGAAAGCAAGCGGTTGCTTTTAGAACCAGTGATTGTAAAGGTTTAAGAATAATACGTCTCTTCCTCTGAAGTAAAGTTATGGATTTCAATATTCAAATTCACACTTAGTTTTAAATATTAGTATGGTTACAACTAGATGCTAAATTTTAGTCATCAATAAATCATCAATAGGGAGCAAAAGGGGTTTGAGGCTCAATCAATAACAAAAAAAAAATCATTATTTTTAAAATACGAAGGCCAATTGTCCATGCACACTGTGGTTTCAAAAATTAAATAAGCCTGTTTTCTTACGTGATTGTAAAGTTTTAAGGATAATGAGTATATTCCCCTAAAGTAAAATTATGGATTTCTATGTGCAAATAAATAATAATTTGATTTTTCAAATTCACATTCAGTTTTAAATTGGGGTGTAAACGAGCCAAACATGAGCGAGCCTAGACTCGGCTCGTGTTCGGCTCGTTTATATTTCGAGCTCAAAAAGTGTGTTCATGTTCGGCTCGTTTGCTTAGCGAGCCGA